ACTTTAAAATCTTGAAAAAGGAAATCAACACAGAACTTAAAAAATGGCAAAACCTCCCATGCTCCTGGATTGGAAAGATTAACATCGTGAAAATGGCAATACTTCCCAAGGCTATCTACAAATTCAACGCAATACCTATCAAAATTCCAACCTCATTCTTCAAGGAAATAGAAGAGACAATCCAAAAATTCATATGGAACAATAAAAGACCCCGAATAGCAAAAACGCTCCTCAACGGAAAGAACACTGCTGGAGGAATATCAATACCAAATTTCAAACTCTACTATAAAGCCATAGTAATCAAAACAGCTTGGTACTGGCATAAGAACAGACCTCAGGACCAATGGAATAGAATTGAAAACCCAGAAATGAACCTACAGACCTATAGCCATCTAATCTTCGATAAGGGAGCTAAAACAATAGAATGGAAGAAAGACAACCTCTTCAGTAAATGGTGCTGGCAAAATTGGTTAACTACATGTAGAAAACTTAAGCTAGATCCTTATATATCACCCTGCACCAGAATCAACTCCAAATGGATCAAAGACCTTGAACTCAAAGCAGACACTCTGAAAACATTACAGGATGGAATAGGAGAAACCCTGGGTCTCCTTGGCTCAGGCCGAAATTTTCTGAATAGAGACCCGGAAACACAAGAAATCAAAGAAAGGTTGGACAAATGGGATTGCATAAAGTTGCAGAGCTTCTGCAGGGCAAATGACATAGCTAGCAAGATCAATAGAAAGCCCACGGATTGGGAGAAGATCTTTACTAGCCATACAACGGACAAGGGTCTCATATCTAAAATATACTTGGAACTCAAAAAATTAAACCCCCCAACAACAAATCCTCAAAGAAACAACTGCCCAATAAATAAGTGGGCGAAAGACTTAAAGAGAAACTTCTCTGAAGAAGAAAGAAGGATGGCCAATAGACACATGAAGAAATGTTCAACATCCCTAGCCATGAAAGAAATGCAAATCAAAACAACATTGAGATATCACCTCACTCCAGTTAGAACGGCAAAAATCAAGAACTCTAACAACAACAGATGCTGGAGGGGATGTGGACAGAAAGGAACCTTACTTCATTGTTGGTGGGAATGTAAACTTGTTCAACCACTTTGGAAAGCAGTATGGAGGTTCCTCAAAAGACTCCACATAGAGCTCCCCTATGACCCAGCAATCCCACTTTTGGGCATTTACCCTAATGTTTACAAACAAGACCACACTAAAGCTACCAGCACAACTATGTTTATTGCAGCATTATTTACCATAGCTAAGATCTGGAACCAACCCAGATGCCCCTCAGTAGATGAATGGATCAAGAAAATGTGGTATATATACACAATGGAATTCTATGCCTCCATCAGAAAGAATGACATTGCCCCATTTGTTAGGAAATGGAAAAACTTGGAAAAAATTATATTAAGTGAAGTAAGCCAGGTCCAAAGAAACATAGGTCCCATGGTTTCCCTTATTTGTAATATCTAGTATATGTATGAGTCAAGCGGAAAAGGTCAGATAATGTGATGTCAGGAAAATGAACCCTTAGATGTGTATTTTAATGTTTTTTTCTTTCATGCATGTGTTTCTAACACATTTATAAGATTATCTCTTTGTTGCTTTGTATGTGCCTCCCCCACAGTATAACCCTTGCTTTCACTATATTTGATGTCAGTATAACTTGTGGAAGAGATGGGGAAAAACCAGTTGTTTAAGGATACAGGTGGACCTGTTGCAACAATGAGAAGTACAAGTTGTCATGTCCAAAACGAACTTTACAACGTTGGTGGGGGGGGGGGGGCTGGGGTGGGGAGGAAGGAGAAGGATTGGGATTAGGGGGGGAGGGGGGAGGCTGGGAAGGGATGTGAAGGGTAAACAAAGGAGGAGGCTGCAATGCTTGGTAAGAAATGTACACATTATCCTGCCCATGTAACTGTAACTCCTCTGTACAGTATGTTCACAAATAAAATTAAATTAAATTAAAAAAAAAAAAAAAAAAAAGAAAGTGGCAAAAACTTCCATGCTCCTGGATTGGAAAGATCAACATCGTGAAAATGGCAATACTTCACAAGGCTATCTACAAATTCAACGCGATACCTATCAATATTCCAACCTCATTCTTCAGGGAAATGGAAGAGGCAATCCAAAAATTCATATGGAACAATAAAAGACCCTGAATAGCAAAAATGATCCTCAACAGAAAAAACAGTGCTGGAGGAATATCAATACCAAATTTCAAACTCTACTACAAAGCCATAGGAATCAAGACAGCTTGGTACTGGCACAAGAACAGACCTCAGGACCAATGGAATAGAATTGAAAACCCAGAAATGAACCTACAGATCTATAGTCATCTAATCTTCGATAAGGGAACTAAAAAAAATAGAATGGAAGAAAAACAGCCTCTTCAGTAAATGGTGCTGGCAAAATTGGTTAACTACTTGTAGAAAACTAAAGCTAGATCAGAATCAACTCCAAATGGATCAAAGACTCGGAGTCAAAGCAGACACCCTGAAAACATTACAGGATGGAATAGGAGAAACCCTAGGTCTCCTTGGCATAGGCTGAAATTTTCTTAATAGAGACCCAGAAATACATCAAATCAACGAAAGGTTGGACAAATGGGATTGCATGAAAGTGCAGAGCTTCTGCATGGCAAAGGACATAGCTAGCAAAATCAATAGAAAGCCCACGGATTGGGAGAAGATCTTCACTAGCCATAGAATGGAGAAGGGTCACATATCTAAAATATACCTGGAACTCAAAAAATTAAATCCCCCAACAACAAATCTTCAAAGAAACAACTGCCCAGTAAATAAGTGGGCTAAAGACTTAAAGAGAAACTTCTCTGAAGAAGAAAGAAGGACGGACAATAGACACTTGAAGAAATGCTCAACCTCCCTAGACATAAAAGAAATGGAAATCGAAACAACATGGAGATGCCACCTCAGCCCAGTTAGAATGGCTAGAATCAAGAACTCTAATAACAACAGATGCTGGAGGGGATGTGGACAGAAGGGAACCTTACTGCATTGTTGGTGGGAGTGTAAACTTGTTCAACCACTTTGGAAAGTAGTATGGAGGTTCCTCAAAAGACTCCACATAGAGCTCCCCTATGACCCAGCAATCCCACTTTTGGGCATTTACCCAAATGTTCACATTAAAGTTACCAGCACGACTATGTTTATTGCAGCATTATTTACCATAGCTAAGATATGGAACCAATCCAGATGCCCCTCAGTAGATGAATGGATCAAGAAAATGTGGTATATATACACAATGGGATTCTATACCTCCATCAGAAAGAATGACATTGCCCCATTTGTTAGGAGATGGAAAGACTTGGAAAAAATTACATTAAGTGAAGTAGGCCAGGTCCAAAGAAACATAGGTCCCATGGTTTCCCTTATTTGCAATAACCAGTATATGTCTGAGTCAAGCAGAAAAGGTCAGATAAGTTGATGTTAGGGAAATGAACCCTAAGATATGTATTCAAATGTTTTTTTCTTTCATGCGATCGTTTCTAACACATTTATAAGATTATTCCTTTGTTGCTTTGTATGTCCCTCTCCCACAGTATAACCCCTGCTTTCACTGTATTTGATGTTGGTATAATTGTGGAGGAGAAGGGGAAAACAAATCGTTTAAATAGGGATACAGGTGGACCCATTGCAACAATGAGATATACAAGTCGTTATGTCGAAAACTAACTTTACAACTTTGGTGAGGGGAGGAGGAGATTAGGTGGGAGGTGGGGGAGGATGGGAAGGGATGGGAAGGGGAAACAAAGGAGGAGGCTACAATGCTTGATAAGAAATGTACTCATTGTCTTGCCCATGCAATTGTAACCCCTCTGTACAGTATTTTCACAATAAAAAAAGAAAAGAAAAGAATTGTTGGAAAATCACCAAAAAGCTCAGCAAATGAAACATCTTTCTCAATCTTTCCACTGATCTTTTTGTTCTTTATTCTATCTTGTGTTTTACTTTTCTCACTACGATTTACTCTCTGCTTCACTTATCATAGATCTCTCATAAAATTTTTACTGCTTAGGTGATTTCTTCTATTTTGAATTCAGGGAATAACAGAATGTATACCTCTCTGTTTCCAGTTTCTCTCTCTGCTCTACACATATTTAGAGAAATCCAAAATAATTTTTGACCAAGAGTTAATCTCAAATTGTGTCTCTTACAGACTCTACTTGTGTCCTAGAAAATGAACACTTTTCCCCAATAAATATATAAATACATAAAAACATTGTTATTTGAAGGTATATACATCTGTATTAAATTCCCTAATTTTGAGCTATAATCTGAATTTCGTAAACTCTCATCTAGTCACTGAGTGTAGCTGTGAAAGATCTCTAAAAAGCACTGTGACAAAGAACCCTCATTGGAGCATATGAAGTTGGTTGCCAAAGAATTAGTGGACTTAATAAACTACCACAGTTGCTCAAATAGCCTAGCAGACCCTCCAAACTGTTGACATCACGGTTGTGATAATGTGCATTCATCACCCATCACCCACTTTTTGGATTAAAAGCATGTGTGTGTGTGTGTCCATGTACATGCATGTTCACATGGTGGCTCCTGCTAAACAGGTACACAAGAAAACATTGAAAGAGTGACAACATGTCACTGGGTTTGTATTCTTGCAGTTCACTTATGGTCTTGAATTGTATTGGAGTGACCATTCAGTGCCAAATACAGTAGGGGCAAGGTCACGTGACAAATAGTTATTTCTGGTTAGAGGTTTGAGGGTTTACTGTCCTAGGTAGAAAATAAGAGAAAATGGCTGTTGAATCCCATGTAGAAGGTAGCCCAAAGCGCCAAGAACTCGACCTGCTGCTTCCCTTCTCTTGCCCTCCGGAAATGTGTATTTATCCATTAACAGCTCTTTCTTGTGCTTGTACATATGCCCAGCTGCATCAGAGTAAACAGGTGCCCCCCAAATATGTGTCAATAAAATGAGAGGAGCAGACTGGGCAGCTCTTTCCCAAGAGGTCATTCTGAGGAATCCAATCCATGATTTTGACATTTGTAGCCAATTTCAAAGAGAACTCTTACAGTTCTATATCACCCCTTGAGGAAGAAGGGCAAAGGCGTTGTTCATCTCCTCCAGTAATGTTTGGCTCTGAAACCAGTTCAGTATTGAGCCCAGGGACACAAGAACAAAACCAGAGATTTCAAACTTAGAAATGAAGTTCTCCAATTCCTAGAATAAGACAAAAAAATAAAAGGAAGTTACTGATTTATTAGTAACATTTTGTAAGGCAGATATGAAATGCAAATCGGACAGTTTACTAAATATACCCAACTATTGGTGCCTTGTACTCACTTTCCTGGCATTTTTTTCATGGCCTATTTCATAGCCTAGTCACATTGTATGCCTGTATTATGCTCACGTTTATAGTATCTGGATAGCTTACAAGTTAGTTTTCTAATACTGTGCACTCATTTCATCATATAAATATGTTAAATAATAAAGGATGAGTATGGAAAGGGATTTAGGTTATTATTTACCCTACAGACTTTATTTCACATGAAGTATTTATGGCATAATGCAGCAATAAGTGCTATAGATGCCGAATGTTTCACTATTTTCTGGAATAGAGAAGATAGGATAGGTAGAGGTATCTTAGTACATTGAACTCCTAGTATCAGCATCCTCCTCATTGTACACTCTAGGTCCTGAGAAGTATGGAGATTCATAAATTTTTCAAGGGATGGACCAGAGATGCTAATGGCTAGCAGAACATACATGAGTGAGTTAGAAATTTTGGGAGGACATTATTGTCATAAGAATTGGAAGTAGAACAAGGTCAAGTTCTTTGACATTACTTTTAAACTTGTCTCCCAAATTTAGAAACTCCTTCCAGCAAATACAACTTTCTTATCCATGCATCATTCCCATCTCCTGATGTCCACTCAAGGCAAAGGCAGGGGCTAAAGGGGATTCATTTGGTTCCTGGAAAATCCAGATCCTATCTTACTGTGAGCTGAAAGGTACTTTGAAGGCCTCCTATATCACCTGAGAATTCAGGCCACCCCTTTATAAAAGTGGCTATAAAAATTACAGAAAAAGGGGGCTGGGAAGGTGGCTCAGTGGTAGAGCTCTTGCCTTGCATGCTCAAGGCCCTGGGTTCGATTCCTCAGCACCACATAAGCAAAAAGCAAAAAGCCGGAAGTGGCGCTGTGGCTCAAGTGGTAGAGCGCTAGCCTTGAGCTGAAGAGCTGAGGGACAGCACCCAGGCCCAGAGTTCAGGCCCCACAACCGGACCCAAAAAAAAAAAAAATTACAAAAAAAGGGGCTGGGAAGGTGGCTCAGTGGTAGAGTGCTTGCCTTGCATGCATGAGGCCCTGGGTTCGATTCCTCAGCACCACATAAGCAAAAAGAAAAAAGCCGGAAGTGGTGCTGTGGCTCAAGTGGTAGAGCGCTAGCCTTGAGCTGAAGAGCTGAGGGACAGCGCCCAGGCCCAGAGTTCAGGCCCCACTACCGGACCAAAAAAAATTACAGAAAAATATGGTTATTTCAAAAGATGGTTATATCTGCCAACAAGTGGAAGAATATTGTACAATTTGTGTAAAAAAAAATTCTCAGTGCAGATAAGTAACAACTGCAGCCAACTTACCTTACCTAGCCACACCTGTAAATTTTCAGTGGTGTTGCTTCTGGGTCCAGGCTGTGCATTAGATGACTGGTTCAGCTTTCACCATTTATTTCAGTTAGAGCCATCCCAGATGAATCGATTCATAATGTTTTACTATAGTGAGAGGCAAGAGTTCTGCAGGGTGGAGAGCTAGGGAGAACACTGCAGTTCTTTCTTTCAGTCCACTAAAAGCTGCCCTAGTAAATGCCCTGTCTTCAGTGCTGTCCGTTTCATTGTGACTAACTCAGATCTTTATCAATTGTTGCGAGTAACTGAAACTCGCTAATTATTTCATGTACACATTTAAGTGCAAAGGCAAATGTCATCTTTAACTTAATGGCTTACTTAAAGGCTTTGACCTGCTCTAGACTGTGGTCAATGAGACTTAAACGTCAGAGCTGGGGAAGGCGCAGCACTTACTTGTACAGCTGTGAGCGTGGGTGTCCTCTGTACGTGCCTCTTGTGCCACATCCTGTATCATTCTCAGGATCCCTTTGCTACATGGCAGCCCCCAGTTGGGCACTGAAAGCCCCTGCATAAAGTCTGGTCCAATGGCTAATGTTTTACTTACTTGTGGTATTGGCATTACAGGTTTGTCCAGGATGCCTCCAATATAAACAGTGTTAGGAAACAGAAGCCTGACAAAATCCAAGGCAAAATCTGAATTCACAAACCAAAACTCTGTTTTCTGGAGAAGATGAGCCAAAACTGGCCTAGAGCCTTCTGCGAAATGCTGCTTGATGGTGTTGTCAAAGGTAGAGTACTTTTTTTTTTGCTTCATAGGAAAATCAACAGACTTTAGAATGTTCTTTACTAGGCCCCAGAAGTCCATTTCTCCACTCAGCAGTGGATAGTATACTGGAACATAAGACAATGGACTTGGCAACCCAAAGTTGCCGTTAGCAAATGCCGTGGAAAGTAAGCACACAAATGGGTTTCCAAGTTTCTCAGCAATCAGCAAAGAGCAGAAATCTACTGAATCCAAAATCATCAGGTCAACATTCTCATTCCTTAAGGAATCCAGGATGTCCTTTGAGCTTAGCAAGTCACTGCATAAAGTCCCAAGGATTTCATAGAGCTTTATATAGCTGTCAAATTTTTCCCTATAAATAGAAAATTCATAGCAAATATTTGAGGTGTCGACTCCACAAGATTTGGAAAAATCTTAGACACAAAGAAAATAGATAGGCAACAGTATAGCTAGCATATAATTTACCACTGTCCAGAAAATACTTCATAGTCTTTGTCTAGGAATTTCCATTCTCTAAAATGTTCCCACTTCTCATCCCGTTTTCTCCACTGATTTAATCCTCTGCTGATTTAAATAGCAACAGTGTAAAATTTCTTCTGCCCTGGGTGCCACCACTGACTATAGGATTCTATATGCTCTTAATCAGCCTATCTATGTGATAAGCTGTTTAACTTTCATTATATAATGATATTGAATGATTATACTATCTTCCTGACAATATGTGTAAGCAATTTGTTACTAGCTTCTCTAATCACCAATGGCTCTGTCTATTTCTAATCCTGTGTGTCTTTTATTTGACAGTTACTTCACACACAGAGGCTTTCTGATAACAATATTAGAACCCCAAATCTGATAAGCATGAGATTTTCATCTCTCTTGGCTAGACCTCGTGCAAATGAAACAAAATTATAAAGCCATACTTGAAGCTTTGACTTTACATCTCATGCTGGCTCTAGTACTCAAAGATAATGCTAAAGTTTTAGTCATAGTTAAGATTCTTGTTTATGGCACTATTTGAGGGGCATAAAAAATAACCATAGAAAGAGATAATGAATTCCTGCAGTCGGGAAATGGACAATGTGCTCTGAACATAATGAAGGGATGAGAGGTCACACTTTTAGAGAGATCAGCTAAGAAGAAGATTGTTTTACATCCTCTGGCACTCTCTTCTTCACAGACACAACACGTAAAACTACTATTCCTACTCCAATTTATTACAAAAGTGCTCATGAATTCTGTGGAGAAAGCAGTGTTGACTTCATGAACATTTTGAAAGATAGAGGTAACCCTGAGGAAAAGGGAGCCCCAGACCACCCCACAAAGTGGCCCCACAAAAGTGTCTACAAAGCAGGTTCCACTGCCAGCACAAAGGCCCCAGTGCAGGTCAGCAACTAAACTATAATATATGCACATGTGAGATATAATACCACAGTAAAATTCTAATGTATAATTAACATACACCAGGAGCCAGCACCAGTGGCTCACACCCACAATCCTAGCTATTCAGGAGGTGAGATCTGAGGATCACAATTTGAAGCCAGCCCAGGGAAAGGAAAATCCATGAGACTCTTATCTCCAATGAATTACAGAAAAAGCCAAAGTGGAGCTGGAGCTCAAATCATAGAGTGCTAGCATTGAACAAAAGGAGCTCAGGGACAGAGCCTGAGCCCTGAGTTCACACCCCAGGAGCAGCAAAAAAAAAAAAAAAGCAAAAAAGGAAAAAAAAGAAAACATGAATGATGTGAAAATGAAAAGAGTTAGGGCAAGGGTGGAGCAGAATTGAAGAGAGCCAATGGGAAGGGTGAATAAAAATATAATCAATTTATTTTTTATTTTATTTTATTTTGTCCATCCTGGGGCTTGAACTCTAGACCTGGCGCTGAACTCCTTCTGCTCAAGGCTAGCGCTCTACCACTTGAGCCATAGCTCCACTTCCAGCTTTTTCTGTGATTGGAGATAACCCAAAAAAGTATAGAACCCATGGTTTCCCTTATTGGTAATAATTAGTATATGCCTAGGATAGTCCTAGCAGATGAGCGTAATAGCTCATATAAGATGATAAGAGAAATGAACTCCAAGATACAGAAACAAGAAGTTTTTCTTTGTTGTTATTTTTAATGTACTATGTGATCCCTTTTTATTTTGTGGTTTTTCCCCTATGATTTATCCCCTGTTGTCATTGTATTTTATTTTGGTACCTGGTATTGTATATACATTTATCTGAATTCCAGAAGGGAAGGGAAACAACAGAATGGTGAGACAAAGAACAAAGGCGGAAGCAATGCAACAGCGATACTCACAAGACAATGTGTTAGAAATGAACTGCATAATTTGGAGGGGGCAATAGGGGAGAGAAAGTGGGAGAAAAATGAGGAAGGGGGAATGAATGGGGACAAAGAGTCTCATGGGCTTTCCTATCCAGGCTGATTTGGAACAGCAATCTTCAGATCTCATCCTCCAGAGAAATTTGGTCAAAATATTTTATATGTATGTATGAAAATAAAACAATGAAATTGTTTTAAAAAAGAGGAGAGGAAATGAAAGAGAGTGATAGAGGGAGTGAATTTGATTGGGGTACTTTTTATGCATGTATGGAGCTCCCCCTTGGTACAACCAATAGATGATAATATTAAGAACTATTTTAAAAATAGGCTATGAGACAATCAATAGCTCAGCAACCCTGTACTCCTATGCACCTGAACTTTATTCCTGTATATATATATATATATATATATATATATATATATATATATATATATATACTTATATATATGAAAGAATTATAGACTAAGAACTTGAAACATTCCTATCTTGTATGAACTTTGGAATAAACTTTAAATCACAAGAATAAACTTTAAGCCACTGTTTATGTGCTGGATGCTACATTTTCATTGTGGCTGTAAGGAAATCATGGGACTTAATAGCAGTGGTCAGGGAGGCTCTACTGTAGGAGGGGATGAATATAGTTCTCATGGAACCCCGTTAGTTCTGTGGGACAGTTATTGCAAATAACAAAAAAGTCCATTTCTTTCTCCCCAGATGCGCCCCACCAATGTGATTCCATTTGCTATAGTCTTCAAGAAATTCAAGTAAGTGCTGACTTTTTATTTGAAATAAATAAATTGTACTATACTCAGAAAGACACGATTGTCCACAACTCTGACCATGTTTAAACTAAGAAGCCATGACAGAAGAGCCAAAATAAACCTGTGCTTTAGAAGTACTTTAACGAACAATATAAGATGACATACATGAAGGTGTCAGGTGAGTTTCTGTGAGAGTGATGGAGAAGAGATCGTGCTCTTGACGCTTAAGTAAGGGAAAAACTCTGTTTTGAAGGTTCTATTGAGAGTCACCTGGATAGGCGACTAGTAGTCACTGTATTAAACAATGATGGCATGGATTTGTGCCTGTCTTCTGTGAAGGTGAAAAAAAAATCTGTGTCCTCAAAGAGAGGTGGGTGGGAAGAAATAGCTTCATCTGTCATTGTAGATCATTAGGCTGCTTGAATTTTTACAGTATTTTAAAGGCAAAGTTTATAAATGATAAAAATGAGTATGCATAAGCATTTTCTCCTTTGGTAACTTTATGTCAAGCAGACAAAACAAGTAATGAAAATTGATCTCATTTCTCTTCAATAAGATGTCAAAGAGTCTAACCTTCTTTCTTTATTTTTTTTTTGGGGGGGGGGTCTAGTCATGGGGCCTGAACTCTGGGCCTGGGCACTGTCCCTCAGCTCTTCCCCTCAAGGCTAGCCCTCTACCACTTGAGCCACGGCGCCACTTCCAGCTGTTTTTTTCTGCTTATGTGGTGCTGAGGAATCGAACCCAGAGCCTCATGTATGCAAAGCAAGTGCTCTACCACTGAGCCACCTTCCCAGCCCACCTTCTTTATTTCTTAAGATTTTAGTTGAAACATAGCAAGAAAGAGACTGAAGAAGAAACCCTGTTTCTCAAAAACAGAAAGGAGAAAGAAGGAAAGCACATCAAACTGAGAGGAAGAGATGAGGGAGAATGCATTTATAATATTCAATGCATATTCTAGGAAACCAGAAAAACTGAAGGGCTGGGTGAATTTAGGAGGGATCGAGGAGACTGATGAAAGAGGTGATATTGATCAAGATGCAGTGTACTCATAAGCTGACATGTTAAATTGTAATCCTCTTGTACAACTATTTAAAGCTAATAAAACTAAATAAAAGGAGAGACTACAGACTAGATGACTGAGAATGAGTTAACTATTGCTCATGCTCTATCATTGAACTGTCCTACTTTCATCCTCTCTCTCTCTCTCTTCTTGATTTGAGTTTTTCTGTCAGTATCAGGGCCTCATGCTCCCACTTACCTTTCATACTCATGGCTGCCCTACCATTTGAGCCATGCCTCTAGTCTGGCATTTTGCTGGTTAATTGAAGATAGGGTCTCTCGGACTTTTCTATCTGTGATGACTTTGAACCTCAATCTCCCGGGTCTCAGTCAGTATCCAGAATCACTAAGATTATAGGCATTAGCCACTGGCTACCATCCATCTTCTTACACATAATCTAGCCTATAAACATCTATCCATCCACCCACTCTCTCACACCTTTCTCTTAAAAGAGACCACACAAAGGATCTTGCATCCATTTATTCATATTATGACCAAAACAGTGACTTTGATTCAGTGAACCAAGCAAATTACCTTCCATGTAAGGCTTCTTGTAAAAGGAATTCAACAACCTTACATAATTCTCTCTGATTATCTTCATGTGGAAGCCAACTAATAATCAACATCAAACAACTATATATTAATGGGCTATGAACCACAAAGAAGAATTTGGCAAACTAGAAATTATTAGGTTTAAGAAGAAATGTGGGTAAAAATAGGAATAGAGGGATGTGGGAAGGCACAGAGAGAGTTAACTAAACTAATTCCTAACCTCAAAGTGGAAAATAGGTTGGTTAGGATGAAAGTAGATAGAGAGAAAAAAAGAAGTAAGAGAAAGAGAAAAAAAGAGACAAGAAAAAATAGAAAAGCAAAAATTAAAAAATAAAAAGTGCAGTGCTTAAAAATTATGCAAATTTGAAAACGAAATACTCAAAGAAGAACGTGAATATAATGAGAGAAGGGGAGGGATGTAAAGGAGACGTGAAAAACTTAAAAATAAAAATACTTAAAATATTATATAGGTATAAAGAGGTAGTACTGCTATTAAGGAATTTAAGTCTAAGAGGTTTTGAATTGAGTAATAAATTTCTGGATTAAGTGTGTACACAATGGAGGATAAGGTCTAATAATCGACTACGGGTATATCTGAGGAGGTGCAGAACAGCAATTAAGTCACACAAAGAAGAACGAAAGAGAAGAAAAGTTGAAAAGAATGAGAAAGAAAGAAAAAAGGATCAAAAGTTCAGTAGAGCTAAACATAAACAAAAAAATAAAAAAAATTTTAGAAAGAAAATGCATACACACTTATACCCCTAAAATAAAAATTATAAGAGAAAGAAAAAAAGTTACTAGAAAAAAAGTTTTTTTAAAAAAAGGTAAAATTTAAAAATTAGAAAAAAAAGTTTTAGAAAAAAATTTTTATAAAAGTTACCAAAAAAAAAGTTCTTTGATTTTTTTTTAGAAGGGGTGGGAAGATCCTGTATCTCCCTTGTGTCCATAACCAGCCTCTTGTTGGAGTCTCTGGTCTGCTTGTGGTGTTTGATTTTCCTGTGGCTTGGTTGGTTTCTTAAGTCAGTTTGTTTGAGCAGGCAGAAAAATGCTCTGCTTTATCCAGGATTTTGTGATCTTCCTCCCAGGCTAGTTCAATGGGAGGGAGATCTGTTTTGAGTATCACAAAAGAGGGAGATGGCTGTTTCCTCAAGTTTGGAGATGCTGTGGTGAGGCTAGGTTCTGGGTAGAGTTGAGGCCTTTCAGCAAACAGTAGCTTTTCCCTGGGAGGCTAGCTTGTGAGAAACTCACAGAGCCCAGTCTGGAGCCATTCTCAGGGTTTATGTTTACTGAATTTCAATTGATTGTCAAGGCTGCTAAAGGGAGGGGGGGCAGCCTCTGGCTCTGTTTACCCAGTGAAGAAAGCCACTCCCAGGCTGTTTGCCTGAGCTGGGTGACTTTTCCCTGGGTAGAGCTGAGTCTGGCAAGTCAGATTCGGTTGTTGTGACCTGCTAAATGACTCAAGTTTTCTTCCAAGGCCTGAGTTGGAGCTAGCAGCTCAACCAGGCCTGTGTCTGTATCAAAGATGGAGATATCCAGTAGTGGGGAGGGAGGGGTGGCCTTCCCTCCTCTGCTCCCTGAGAAGGAGTGAGGACGTCAGGCTTCTACTCATGAGTCTTGGTTCCTGGGTCGTCTCTGGTCTGCGAACTGCAGGATGAAGATATCTGCTCCTTGTCGGTTCTTGCTGGTGTTGAGTAGAATCTGCTCTCCCATCGCGTCTGGCTCCTTCATCCTGGACTCACTGTGTTGCAGGTATGGCGGCTATATCCACTGCAGCCACCACTGCTCCAGCGGCTGCTCACAAGTGCTCAGATCTGTCTCCTTGCCTGGATTTTCCCTCTCTGGACTAACACTCTGTACTGTGATGGCACACTTGGTGTGATTCTCTGGCTTAGGACTGTTCACTGGGACTCTAAAACTGCTTTCTATGCAAGAGCTTGTTTTGCCTCCAGCTCCTCCTCTGCCATCTTCCTGGAATTCCGAAAAAAAAATTTATTTTTTATCATTCAAAAATCTAACTAAAATTAATTGCTTCCTGCATCCCCTTTTCTCTGTATTTTATCTATTACTAATGTCTAATAAAAAGTTTGTTCCATATGTGAAGTCTGAGTATTGTCAATTTTCACTTTTACTTTTACTTCACTTACTTTCACTCCCACTTTACTTTCTGAGCCTCATCTGTAAAATTTATGTGGAAAGGATCCAATATGTCCTATTGATTAACAAGTGTTTCAAACCAAATAATCTAGAATAAAAACAAGATTAAAGTGAGGGAACTGTCACTTTAATCACACTTAGGAGTTTCCATAATTTGCATTTAGTGACAGAGTATTGAGGTTGTATCAGTATTTTGGGGTCATGAGCCTCATCCCAAACCTATTTGTGTGTCTCAGGTTGAATTATACATCTCCATTATAGCATGAACTATAAATGACTCTATCTCAGCAGTGATTCTCATTGTAAAGAGTTACCAGTTTTAAGACAGCCCAGTGAAATGAATAGTGTACCATGCCCACATCCAACTTCTACAAATATGTGTGATATGGAGACCACTGCAAAGGCTTTTCCTTCCACTGTGGACAGAAAGATTCTGATGAGCAGAGTTCGGGTTGCAGCATACTGAAGAGCTCATTCAAACTACACGTGAAGCTCAGGTCTCTAAAAATAACTACAAGGAAGAAAGTTAGGAATTTTTAGAGGAAGAAACTTACAAATACAACTAAGTTTTGTTGATAAACACCACACTCAGGTGTACCTGATAAGAACCAAAGCAGAGACAATGAATTTGGAAACAAGTACAAAAAACAGAGAAGCATTATATAGACTTTTAGTAATTTAATATTTGTTGTACATAAAATGCCTACATTAATAACTATATTATCAGATAAGAGGCACCAATACAAATGATCTAATCCATTCTGGAGTAAAAGTTATAGACACATAAGAAAATCTCATTAAGCAAGGATACGCCTTCTATACTCTTAATGGGTTACTAAGTGTAAAAATAGAAACCAGGTGAATGTTCAGTCTTAACTACAGACTACATATACTGTGCTCTCTTAAAATTCACTTCCTATAATATTGCCTACTGGTCATACTACTCTTATCTAAAAAAGACTAAAATTAAGTATTAAGTATTCAGCACCTCCAATCAGATTGACACCTATTAATGCCATGAGTCTACTGAAACATAATATAATCATCAGCATTACACCAAGTAACTCAAACAGAATCTTCAATGATTAAAATCCATTGTAAAAAGAAACTATTTCTAGAAAAACTGATTGTCCACTCTTTCTCATTTAAAAGTCCCAATTTTAACTACTGTGAAACCTAGAAAGAAGAAAAGATTCTTCTTGCTTTATTTCCACAGCCTTTACACTATAGTCCTGCATATTCATTACACATCCTCAAGGCTGTTGAAACCACTCACCACATGTCAATATTGCAATGAAAGATTTGAACAATATGTTCTATCCATTACCTATTGCAACAGTCTCCTAGTTCCAACATACCTTCATTTTGATCTTTGAAAGTATAAAGATCACCTTTAATTAGCTAATCATATAACTGTGGTATACTTCAAATGTCCCACCCATTATCTGTGAACAAGACCTTAATTACAGCCAAATTTCCCCAGGATCATCATGTGGACATTGCAGAAGGCACATTCTCCCCCAAGGAGTGCACTGGAACACTCACTGAATACATATCTTGGGCACATTCCTAAAATCCATATACACAATGGAGCTCACAAAGGATCTATGATAGCTCCATCACAAAGTAGAAGGCAGGGAGGTCACTTAAATGACATTTCTAGGAAGAAATGCTTATTCAGCTTGATACTCTAACACTATTGAGCGCCTACTTTCAGATGACAACCTGAGTAGATTCCTGGATTATTTTCCCAACAAATGATGAAAATTAGAGAAAAGGGGCAAGAGAGAGAAAAGGAGGAGAAAGGGAAGGAAGAAGCAAGCGAGTGAGCAAGCACATGCAACAGACAGTGACAGACAGAGAGACAGAAAGAGTCTAGAAGTTCCTGAAATGTTTTCAGAGTGTCTGCTTTGACTTCAAGGTCTTTGATCCATTTGGAGTTGATTCTGATGCAGGGTGATATATAAGGATCTAGCTTTAGTTTTCTACAGGTGTTTAACCAATTTTGCCACCACCATTTACTAAAGAGGCTGTCTTTCTTCCATTCTATTTTTTTAGCTCCCTTATTGAAGATTGAGTGGCTCTAGGTCTGTGGGTTCATTTCTGGATGTTCAGTTCTATTCCATTGGTCATCAGATCTGTTCTTGTGCCAGCACCAAGCTGTTTTGATTACTATGGCTTTGTAGGAGAGTTTGAAGTTTGGTGTTGATATTCCTCCAGCATTGTTCTTTGTGCTAAGGTTTTTGCTAGTCAGGGTCAAAAGACTTAAAGAGAGACTTCTCTGAAGAAGAAATAAAAATGGCCAATAGACACATGAAGAAATGCTCAACTTGTCTAGCCATAAAAGAAATGCAAATCAAAACAACATTGAGATTCTGCCTCACCCCAGTTAGAATGGCTATAATCAAGAACTCTAATAACAACAGATGCTGGAGGGGATATGGCCAGAAGGGAACCCTACTGCATTGTTGGTGGGAGTGTAAACTTGTTCAACCACTTTGGAAAGTAGTATGGAGGTTCTTCAAAAGACTCCACATAGAGCTCCCCTATGACCCAGCAATCCTACTTTTAGGCATTTACCCAAACAATCACAAACACGGCCATACTAAAGCTACCAGCACAACTATGTTTACCACAGCATTATTCACCATAGTTAAGATATGGAACTAACCCAGATGCCCCTCACCAGATGAATGGATCAAGAAAATGTAGTATAATGGTATATATATACATATATATATATATATATATATATACACACACACACACACATGGAATTCTATGCCTTCCTCAGAAAGAATGACACCACCCCATTTGTTAGGAAATGAAAAGACTTGGAAAAAATTATAAGTGAAGTAAGCCAGACCCAAAGAAACATGGGTCCCATGATTTCCCTTATCTACAATAACTAGAATATGTC